TGCACCCCGGTCCCTGGTGCACAGATGCACCCCGGTCCCTGGTGCACAGATGCACCCCGGTCCCTGGTGCACAGATGCACGAGACAACCCTGGCCCCATGTCAAACCAAGAACAGACTCAAGTTTGTCAGTTGGATGCAAAAGCGTTTATCTGCCCCCCCCCACCGCGAGATCTGCCCAGACGGGAGGGAGGAGCTGGGAGCTGCTCTCCAGCAGAAATACAAAGAGGTTTGGGACAGACCTCGCCGGGCTGGGCGAAACCCGTCAGACTGGATCACTGATGTCTGACACCCCTGCTCTACATTCACTGGGGGACAGAGAGAGAAACAAAATAATCACATAACAGTCCAGGCCCTTAACTGTGTTAATGCAGTCAAAAGAGGCAAAGAATGAACAAATCACCTTTTTTTGTTGCGAACTTTTAAAACGATCCTGGAACCGTCAGGCAACACTGACAACCGAGTAGAGGCGTTCTAGGGACAGCGCAGTTTCCAATTTCGCTTTGTTCTGAACCGGGTGGAGACTTGCACATGATCGATAGGTCGCCACACAGAATTTCGACTGCATTGAATGAAGGCTTTTTAAATAAGCAAAACTGAAGACAGAACATATCCTCGGATGGTTTCAAACCACAGTGATGAAGCCTGGTATATGCTGGTGCTACAAGAACGCCGGCTTTGAGAGTAACAGCACCGCCGTCTTGCTTATGTGGCCAAAGGAGGGGGAAAGAGCTGGCAAATCCGTGCTACATTTTTAATACTTTATTTCAAAAGGCTTTAAAAACAGTATGGGTTGCCACTTTTTCCATTCACTCCCCAATTGCAATGGCTGTATGCAGAACATAGCTCCTGTAAACTCACAATAAAACCAAGGGACTGTCACCCACGCACTGGAAGAGCATACAAATAGGCAGTATCTGCACAGAGCACAACGTAAGATCTAGCTGCACCGAAACATCTGGGTTCCAAATTTAAAAAAAGGGTGGGGGTGAACATTAAAATTGAATACCTTGCCTGTAGAGGCTTCATGTCCTGTATGCCACACGACAAATGAGTTGCAAGACATTTGATAAAACCAAACATTGCCAAATGGCCCATAACAGGGAGTGTATACAAATAATTCAGTGACTGACATAAAACACACAAGGACGAAAAATGATAAAGGAGCAGAAGACTGCAAAAAAAAAGGACAAATGTGTAAAAATCTCACAGCGCTCGTACAATGCACGATTTCATGTTTGTTGACAGATACATAAATCAAAATGTGCTGCCTCAGTCAGTCTGATAAAAGAAATGCCACAATTTCATTCACACTGAAAAAGCAGAGGGCTAGGATATACCTATTCCGCCCCAGTAGACTGCAAGTCATCACTGTGGTTTAAACCATTCTTCACCCTCCTATCCCACTCTTGATCATAACACCCTGTCCATGATCATGATTTGTACAGAAGTTTAAAAACTACAGTGAAATATTTTTTACAGAAACAATATAAATTCAGGTCTTATGAACCGACTTAGACTAAATCTAGATTTTTTTTAACAAATATACAATATGCAGGCAGACAAAGCAGGAAAACAGCCATTAAAATACATATGGGGAAAAATATTAAAATGGACTATTACCAGAGTATCTATGAAGCGCCTCAACTAAAAAGGAATGCATAATGAAATTCTAGGCTAGAGTAAGTAAAAACTTTTAAAAACCTGAACCAGGGGGGGAAAAAAAAATCTAAAGATTTACTGGCCATTCCTGTTGAAACGAAAGCCTGACGTGAGCAAGTGGCTACAGTCCCATTTGGAGCACCAGAGTCGAGTAATTTTCATCTTTGCAACATCTTCAGTTTAATACGGGTTGAAGCTGCTGCTGGCCGAAACGGAATACTTCGGAAACCAAGTCCATGCGAAGCGGAGGAAAAAAATTCCGAGAAAGCCTGTCAATGGTTCCTTCCTGGTCTTGCCTACAGTATGCATCGTGTGGATATATATTCATATATTTATAAATTCTATAATCAGAGATCAGTTGCTTCAAAGACCTTGGGCTTCGATGTTTTCCGGTTTTTAAAAGCAACATGGGGTAAAAAAGAAAATGCAGAATTTCAACAGTAATGGCAATGTTTTAGTTGTAACCCAAGGGTTCTTGCAGGTCTTTTCATTTCATTTCCGTGTGTTTTTTTGTTTTTTTTGCCTCTCCTTTCAGCCATTTCTGTCCCCACGCTGGGGTTCAGTCTGGAGGCAGCAGGTCGTGCAGGCGAAATCTCTCCCGGATGTGCGGTCGCACGTCCTCATTCTGCAAGGCGAGAGCAGAGGAGATGCAAATAAATCCACAGGAAAAGGAACAGGGCACTTGAGGAACAAGGGACAGCTTCTCCAAGCCTGAGTTTTCTCTGTGTGTCGATCACCATTAAACTCAGCTCATCTAACGACTGATTTATTCCCCTTTAAGAAAAAAAGGTGTCAATCCGGGATGACTTTGGCATAGAAACCAATCGGTCGCTCAACATAATTCCCCAAGACCAGACATAGACCAATATATTCAAAGAACTGCAGATTACAATGGCTGAGTGCTGTTGATAAATAACCGCACATGGCACTGAATTTTAATAACGTGCCATGCTCTAAACAGCTATAGATGTCAGGCTTTGTGGAAACTGATGGCTGCATAAACACTACAGAAACAGATATGAAATTACAGAAGTGCTATAGTGCAACCAGAACTTTTCCCATAGAGGCTATGGTGCATGCTAGATGCCCAGTGCTACTCTACAAAGCATCAAAAATTAAAGCAAAACATCCAGGGTTTAACAACCATACCAGTTCAACAAGCTTCTCCAGGAAAGGAACCAATTTCAGGAGCTCATTGTCATTCTTATCCATGAACCAGCTCTCTATAGGAATCCCATTGGAAAGCTGTTGGGACAAGCACAACCAGTGTTTCTAAAACAATGTCTCACGAAACAAACCATCAAACTCATCTTCTCACAAGTCAGCAGCGCGTCTGTCACAAGGTGATCGACAAACGTGTTTTGAGCTTACCTGGTATGCGAAGGCCTGTGGTGAATTGTCAATTATAATAGTCTTTGACAGATCCCTTCCGAGAATATTTAGGTCTTTGATATAATTTCCTTGTACACAAACACAGTGTTCACGAAAAAGTCTGTGCCTGCAAAAAATAAATAAAAGTTTAACTCATTAAGCATGTTTTATACACGTCTGAAATCATTTGCCATGAAATAAAAACCAAGTTAGGTGATGCAACACAACATGTGTTAGAAAACTAGTATGAAAACGTACCTAACCAACTGCTTTTTGGGGTCCAGGATGTTAAGCAGTTTATCTGCATAAACCTTCTTGGAGGCAGTGAAGAGAATTATCTGTGGATATTTAATTACTATTATTACACATACCATTTTTACATATTTCACATTCTCAAGCTCTATAGCATACATCAGAAATGTATAGCTGACAAGATGAATTTTATAAAGTTTTGCCCGAAGCTACAAAAGGCAAGACTTGTGGAGAATGACACAAGAACACAATCCTGTCAAACAGTCAAACAGGTCACTGAAGTTATCTTGCGTGTGTTGCAATGGTGAAGCCCAAGTATAAAAAAAAACATGATTTGGTGAGAAGGAGAGGTGAGAATAAAAAAACTCTCCTTTTGAGCCGCCTATGCATAACTCATACTTTCAGTGTTTAGCGTCACCAGGTCTAATTCTAATGTATTTTGATGTAACATCCACAGATGTTGGACAGGTGTTTGGGAGAGCAGCATCCAGGAGGCGCTGAGCTGCTGCGGGTCAACAGGTGAAGTGAGAACTCTCTTCTGAAAGGCATGGATTGGAAAGACTCAGTAACAGAAATGAGACTCACCTCATAAATCTGGGACATGCGCTCAAGGAATTCTCTGAAGAATGGCCTCAACCGCACGTACACCTGAGGACAAAGGGGCGTTTTACTTCTGCTCTACCAGAGAAAAACTGTATACACATGGTCTATTCTTTTTCAAAATGATCTAAAACTTTGAAATGTGTTATGTTGATCCATTAAGAGACATCCGGATTAAAACGTATTTTAAGCCATCAGTTATACCAAGAATCTAAAGCAAACACTTAAAAACATTTAGAAACTGAATTATAAACTGCATGCATGCTTGACTGCTGCAGGTATGGCAAATGTTACGTTATTCTCCCCCCTAGTGGTGAACAACACTAAACCCTCTGACCAATTCTTAAAGTGCAGGTGATCAGGTGCAGTGAAAATTACAGTGAACAACTATTGTAATGGGGGAAAAAGATACAGCTTTAAAACCTTACAATTTCATAGTAACAATAGAAATTTTCCCGGACCCTTCTGCAAAACCCTTTACTCCTCTGTCGCTAAGGGCTCTCTTTTGATAAGACTATTAAAATAAAGTCTGTACCTGGTATATTACATCTTGAAAAAGGACTGGGAAGGTGAGTGCTGCATCTTCCAGCTCATTCAAGCTACAATGTACCAAAGTTTCATCCTGTGGGCAAAAAAATAAAATATCCATGAAGAATAGCTTTGCATCTTGTGTCTCACAGCATATCACATATCATAGAAGCCATATTCACCCTGCAAGTCACAACTGGCAACCCACTGAAGTTAAGCAGGTGTGAGCCTGGTCTGTACCTGGATGGGACATCTGGAAAAGCTAAGGTTGCTGCTGGACGAGGAATAAGAGGGGCCAGTAGAGGGCGCTTACCCTGAGGTCTGTGTGGGTCCTAATGCCCCAGTATGGTGACGCTATAGCATAAAAAGCCGCCATCCTTTGGACGAGGTCCTGTGGTTATTACAAATCCCAGGGGATTTCTTGAAAAGAGTAGGGGTGTTATTTGGCATGCTGGCCAAATTTCCTATTGGCCTTTATCCATCATGGCCTCCTAATAATTCCCATCTAAGAACTGGCTTCATCACTCTGTTCTCCTCCCCACTGATAGCTGGTGTGTGGCGAGTGTACTGGCGCGCTATGGCTGCCGTTGCATCATCCAGGTGGGGCTGCACATTGGTGGAGGGGAGTCCCCATTACCTGTAAAGCGCTATATAAGTGTAAGGAATTATCAACATTTTCAATTTCTCAGCTTTATTCACATTTTACTGTTGTATTGCTTTCTTTAATCTCACGGGCTGGGAAAATGCACAAATGAGGAATATTAGCGTGGCTGAAATTGTATTTTGGCACAGGCTGACTGACAGTAGCACGATTAACACTGCTCGGCTTATAGCTCATTCAGTCACAGGTTCATATTCACTCACCAAGTCCAGAACTAAGGAGAACTCGGGTGTGCTTCTGGTCTTGAGAGGGAGAGCTGGTTTGCGGTTTAGCTGCTCATCTGTCAGAGGTGGCACATGCTTGATGAAATAATATCTGCAGGAAAGAGAGGGGAAAACCTTTGCTCGGTATGTACTCAGGTGAAACAGACAAAAATGCAAAAAGGGGATAAGCAGGTGAATAGAGAACTATGGACTTCAGTTGTATAATTGTTTTTTCTTTAAAATGACTATTTTCTAAAGGGAACTGCATTACCCATGATTTTGTTGCAATACTGAATCATGATGTAACAGGTTCACGTGTTTCAACCACTATGACTTTTAAATCTTATATTAAAATATGAAGAGCGGTGCACTTTATTAAAAACTTCATAAATGCTCCAATGCAGCTATTGTCAAGGATGTGGAATAAAGCCTGCTCAGTTCTTTGAACTGAAACTCGTGACTGTTGTGTCACAAAGTGCTGTTGTCCAGGGAGAAGGATCTTGATTTAAAATTAAACACTTCGGAGACTTTAATCTGAAGTCTTGCTAGCTCTTTTAACTGGAATTATCTACACCTTTAAGAAAAACCTAAGTGTCTGTGCACACAGCTTAGCACTTAGAAGTAGTATGTCAAAACATCCATTTGCATATTACTATTGCATGATCTGGCCTTTAAAGGGGTAGGTTTCACAGATGGAAACGCTAGCTCAACAAGGGGTGTCACTCACGGGTCAAACACCTCCCAATCTTCTTCATACGTCCCTTCAGAGGGAGCTGTGGTGGCCTCAGAATAACCACTGTCTGGAGTTGACCCGGGGGCTGAAAAGACCAGATACAACGGGAAATAAACTGGACTTCAAATAGAAAGACTAAAAGATAAAAGAAAAGGAAAACCCCACTTCCTAAAAGGACAATGCTGCCTGAGCAACACTACTTCTTTCAGAACTGCTCCAAAGCAATCACTAAACCTGCAGTCAGGCCGGGGTAAAGTACAAAGTAACCATGTAACAATTGTAAAAAAGGGCTAAATTTTACTAGACACTTTTTAAAATAGATATCCAAGACTTTTGCTGTAAGTAGCTTGACGAATTTCCTTAGCTGCTCCTAGCATTTGCTCATCTACCCATTTTGACATCCGTACACCTCGCTAGTTTACGGACTACACAAGATCCTAGACTGCGGTTATGCATTTGGGAAGGCAGTTGTTGTATTACAGATCCCGGCTTTACATGGCCCCAGTTCACAGCCATGCTCGTACTACACAAATGCTCCCTCCTCGCCTGATGGTCAGGGCCCGCAAGAAGAAACCGACCTGTGAGGGGAGGCAGGTCGGTGTCGGACACTATCTCCCCCTCCTCAGAGCCGCTGTCTGCCGCGGGGCTGGGGTACAGGATGCCCTCGGTGGAGGTGGCAGTGCTGGTGGGGATCTCCTCCACCTGCTCCATGTCCAGCTGCTTGACAATCTCCTCGGCCTCAACGGCCTGACCAGGGGAGTCGGACCCGGACGTGCCTGGGGAACAGGGCGAGGGAGCAGCGACAGTCAACACAACCGCCACACAACCCGCTGCCCAGCCTGGCTGGGAGAAGCTCGCTTCTCGTCCTTGATTTTGACTCGTCAGTTTGGTGCTCACCAGCGCTACGACTCGAACCGAACATTTGCCCACCTCCAAAAAAGATGAACAACTTCAGGTATAAAAATAAAGCCAGCATGCAGCATTTCCACTACAGCTTCCCAATTACCAACTTAATAATCCATCCAGTTTGTAGTACTTGTTTCAGACGGCCACCAATATAAACATCACCTTCGCAAGGAACTTATGACAGAACTTGGTTTTTTAAAGCAAAGGTGCTGTAACAAGTACATTTTTGTTATAAAAAAAACAGGACAGGCCAGGGGTGCCAATTGTCACGCGACTGGGTGCAGCTGAAAGTCTTACCATTTTTATTTGCTGGTGAAAAGAAGTTGAAGACGGGAGAGAAGATGGTCCCCAGGAGAGTTGTCCGTGGAGGGCTGCCAACTGCATCAGGGGGCTCCTCTAACTTCCCATTGGGTTTCACAGGCTTGCTCGTGTTGTGATTTGTTGCATCTACATGAGGAAGAATGAAGAAGGCGTAGAAACTGAGAAAACAGTGACGAGGATAATTAGCTGAGAAAAATGCTTTCAAATAACATCCTCACGCTATTGGAAACCCATTTTCACTTAGTCCTCGGTAATTTAAGAAGGCTTCCAAGGACTCAAGGATGAGCTTTAAAAAAAATCAACTTTGGACCACTGAATAATTTACTCTCCCAACAGCTACAGAACTGTACTCGTGCACCAGTAGCGATACAGTTGGTCCAGCACACTATTTACAGCAGCATGTCCCAGTTGTGAACGCTGGTTTGTCAGAAACTACCAATGAAGCCCTTTTAATGGTCTTTCCAGCAGCTGCTCACTGCAACTGAACCTGGGGAATTACATAATGGCCAACGTCAAGAGGTGTAAGTGATGAAATCTCCAAGAGCTGTAATACATATTACAAGGGCTTCCACTCTTTACTAAGAAAGCAATCTCCAGGGCATTTCGGCTGTTTTACATCATGCCTTTTCGCCTTACTTAGTCCCCATCATATCCACCACAGCCTTGCATTTGTTCAGCTGTTGAATGTGCAATAATATAGTTCAGGTATGAATTTGGAACAGCCGAAATTGCAGCGCGTCTTCCTTTTATGTGTAGAGCCAACCTTTACTTGTTCCTTAGCTGTTCAACATAACGCGAGCAGATAAGTGTCAACATTAATGATTGCAATATGCAATTATATTTATTAAGCTATACTGAACTAGACGAGTCAGGTGTTTTCACAGCCTCATTTACCACGTCTGCCTGTAGAGTATCCATTTGTGTAGCAGGGCAGTTTAAAAGCAAGTAAGAGTAAATTACTCTTAACAACAACTCCAGTATCCCACCTGGCTGAACCCACAACCTCACAGTGACCCGGAGTTCAGTTAAATAAAGAGCCCCAACCACTACTCAACAATGCTGACACTTGTACTGAAACACCTGAAAGGTTTTATTGCAGTGTTCACAAAAACAGATATGTCGGGCAAGGAAGAATAAACTGAGCCTCAAAGCATTCTCATCCTCCCACGTTAAAGGCACTGAGGCAAACATTAAATTGTTCAAAAATTCCTTTCATTCATGTAGAACGTTTCAGTCCAACAGACCCCAGAGCCCTGTACACATGGCAGAGAATGTCGATGTGCAAGAGCCACAATCAACACAAGGTGAAGCAGGCGTGAGAATCTGCTTCACCAACTGAAATGAACTACAGGGAGGGGAACTGATCAAGGAAGACTAACCCTCTGCTCTTACAAACCACTTCAACGTCTAAGCAATTCGAACCCCCAGGTTCTAATGTCTCATCTGAAGACCAGCACGTCTTACACCACAGTATCCCTGGTTTCCACTGTGGCTCCAGTTTATGGAAAGGCTGGTCCTGAAAGAAGAGCACCACCTATTGGTCCACTAACCAGGTGCTTGCTCTGAGTGGTGCTTTCTAGAAGAACCTCCTTTCATCCTAAATCCCAGTTAAAAACAAAGGGAAGGGTTCTGCCTTGTCCTTTAGCTCTGGCAGCTGTTAGTGATGCGGCAAAAACAAAGTCCCATTTTTCAGCCAACATAAACTTCGGCTGTTTGTGTCTTGGTCCTCTAAAAACTCACTTTGGCTGCTTTTTGGAGCAGCGGGGTTCTCTTTCATTTTTTTATGCCATAAATGAAACGGTTAAACAATTTAACTTCTTCCGATAAAAGCATAATCGGATAAAAGTCTTTGATTTTTTTATAATGGTGATAAGTACGCCATGCTCTGTTCAGTGCAAGAACTCTTTTTCTGTAGATTTTCAATAAGCACCTCTTTACCAACATTATCCTCTGCTTATCTGTGGGAAAGCATCAAAATGAATTAAAAAACCCAGAATTTAATGAAGAACATGCCAAGGAAACCACAATTTCCACAAAGTTTTGAACCATCTTGGTCAAAACTCTGGCACCGAGGTCCACATTTAAGTATCGCACGCAATATCTTGTCCAAAGGCCCATCATCAGAAGCTTGATAACTGCCTACAAGTACATCTTTATTTACAAAGCAAGATAGAAAAATAATAAGTCCCACCTGAAGCTGCTCTGCAAGGAAAAGCACTACAGGTGCACGGGTCTGAAAGTTCTCTAAGAATCGCCCTCGTTGCCCGACAAGCAAAGCAAAAAACGTCTTGATGAACAGGGTTAGCTGCTGCTTGTTTCATCAATCCACTCAAGAATTAGGCACTTTGCCAATGTGAACGTCCCTGTGGCTATCAATGAATCGAACTATGGTCAATCACAGTTCCAGTGCACACTTAATTACTACCAGGAATTTCTACCAAAGAAACCAAGTGTACACCTCTGCGCCACCCTGCTTTAAAGAGCTCTCCCAGCTTCCCTTTGGTGCTACCTAGGCAATATTGTGACTGAGGCTTCTCAAGGTAATGGGATTTGGAAGTAGCTTGGTAGTTGTCCTCCTTCCTATATTTCTCAGGATCATTTAGGAAGTTCCAGTTTATTCGGGGGTCAACCATGGGGAACTGCAATAATTTCTTTGGATCAAGCAGTTCAAACCGCAGCTCTCAAAAAGCTAGTGCACAGGAGTCTCTAAGGAATTCAGAATGCACTTTTTCCACATACAACAGAGCAGCTGGACTTTCGACATCTTCTATCGGCCTTTCTTTGAAATATGACGTTAAACCAAAGCAACCTTAGTAAGCGTACTTTGTTGATTAAAAGAAAAGTGTTCAATTACATTAGAAGATGTGCTGGACCACAGCTTTGACACTTCTCTTCATTCTTTTCAATGAATTAATAATGTTAGCTTTGTGATGCTTCAGCAATGTGTCCGCCACACAAGTTTGTTTAACTGTTGCTATCATAGCATCTAAAAACTGTCATGAATGCAGCAATGTAAAGAAAAAATACATACAGCATAAAAACATGTCGTATGTTGCAATATACAGTCTCTAATCATAATAATAGTATGAGAAATTCCTATACCATTCAACAGTACTAGCCCCTAACCCCTAAGAGAGAAGCAAAACACCATTTCCCTGAACATGGATAGCAAAGAATAAGAAAAATTGTCTTAATATACAATTTGGTAAATTACATTAACCTTAGCATGTCATGGAAGTTGTCTCTCTTTGAAGTAGAGGTTTACAGGTGTTTTAAGGCAACAATTTTCTATCAGTATAAGCTTTTAGTAAAATATTATAGATCGCTTGATGCTCGCTTATGATATAGGTCTGTTAACTCAACTTCAGGGTTGTCCTGGGCTTTAAATGATCAATTTATGTTTAAGAAAATCCGGTGAACATTCCAATTTTGTAAGGTCTACAGCTTTACTGGTTTTAATTTATCATGCAAAAATGTAGGAATAAGAGGATTTTGCCAGTATATGTTATAAGATTAAACAAATCTCAGACAATGATAAATTTTAATTTTTGCGCTGCTATTTACCAAACACTGAACGCACTCCTGAACAAACTGCTGCAATGGTTAAAACACTGAATTCCTAATGCAGCTGAGGGAGAAGTTCAACATCCACCCGCTTGTTTATCAAATACATTTATTAGAACTTGGCAAACAAAACTGTTAAGTTTTTTTATAATACCTAATATGCTATTATCGTATTATTTATAATACTATGCTACCATTTACAATAAAGCATCTGCTGTCCCAGTTATGGGATGAACTTCCCACACTTTCAACCTACAGCAACCTGTAAGACACACCACACGGTTGTGCGCCAACAACCCAGCTACACAAAATCCCCATTATAATCATGATGCTGTGCTAGACAGTCTGCTTCGACCAGTCACGCCCTCTGCACCCAAGTGTATACTATAAGCATTCTGTTACCATACACTTAGTCCTAGAAAAAAATATCCTCCCCTCCCCCCAACACCACTTTCCATGACTTTTCCCAGACTGGATATGAAACTAGACATTTTCCAGGATGCATGGGGAAGTCGGATTCCGTTTTCCACTGGATCCTGGTAGACGACAGGGCCCATGGCCACCCAGCACTGCGACACTCACCCCCGTTCACGGGACTTTTCCGTCGGACCCGGGAGATGGGCTTGCTGGGAAGGTCTCCTGTCTGCGGCGTGGATGATATCAAGTTATTGTCCAGGTCGCACTCGATACGGCTCCTCTTCGCAGGGTTCTCCTGCTCCACCTGCAGAGAGACGGGATCATTACAGAGGATGGGAGAGTAAACTAAGCAAACCTCCCACGCTTGAACATCCCCTTTCTCTCCGCACTTCTGCTTGCTGGCCTGTTCTTACCGTCCTCGTATCGGAGCTCAAACAGGTCATTATCCCGAGAACATCCGAGCCTGCTTTGGCAAAAATACCGCCAATTTAACCATCCTGTTTTTCACATTCGCTACTTTGGAATTGATACACAGCACGTTAACCGGTTAGGAAGGCTTGGATGGCTTTTAAAACTTTCTATCAATACTCACTGTAACTGCAACATGCAATTACAGTATGTTCTCAATTAGCATAACCTTCATAAGAGTCCCCCCCCCCACTTGCACTGATGGCGATGTTACAGTAATTTAATTCTAAATAAAAACAAATGTAAAGACTATTTGGAGTGTGCGATTATCTTCCTTAATTCAGAAAGATACAAAGTGACTCATTAAAACAAAGAAAGCTAATATACTTTGTTTATTCTGTTTAAGCAAATTTATACATGAAATAATCTTGAAAGCGTTCACCTACGATATATCTCGCATCTATATCAATTCCCTTTCCACTCCAGAGTAAAACACCTCTGCTATTACCTGCAAACACCAGGGGAAGCAGGAATGTTAAAGCTGGGTTCCCCCACGGATGAAACATTCGAAGAGCTCAAGGAAATCTGCGTAACTCCACACGGGCACCACGACACATGGCACTACACCAGCCCGGCATACAGACTCACGCCCCGACACACACGTCGCCACACGGCGCGCTGGTCCATAAAGGGGGCTGACGCGGGCTACCTTGGCAGCGTTCCCTCGGATGAACTTCTTGATCGACGAGAGCAGGCCAGTCTCGTTCTTCTGCGGCTTCACGCCCGCGACCTGCGTGCAGTCCTCCACCTCCACCTCCGAGTGCTTCCTCTTGGTGCGGGAAGTGCGCGGCGCGAGCACGGGATTCGACTGCTGAGAAGCCTTGCGCATTCTCAGCCTCATCTTCCTAATGGTCACATGTAAAACTGAAATGGGCGGAAGGAAAGGGAGTGAAAACAGCCATTAGACACTTGCGTCTACGAAAATCACTCCCAGCTCTCGCTGGCACACGCACACACGGCATGCAGTCTCCTCGCCTTAGAGGACAGCAGAGGGCTCCAGAGGAAACATCTATCAGTTAAGCAGTACAGGAAAACAGCCCCGCAATTACAAATCAGAAGCACATGGCCGAGAAAGCTGAACCGTACTGCGGTTTCTAGGAAATGCTTTTTTTTTTCGGATTAAAAAAAAAAGGCGGTCTTAAAAGGAAACTGCTCCAAGGTTCAGGTTCAGCTAAAAAAAAAAGTTTCTACCCATCAACAGGAAACGTACAGCTTTTCTTTCACTGCTATGTGATGCTTTCTAAAGTATTACCAGCACTGGAGAGAAAATCATTCAACCTAAAAGTTATTAGGAAAAGCGGAGTTACAAATGAAACCCCATTTTCACAATTTTAGAAAGATTCTTCGAGGACTTAATTTAAACTGGAGCTTTTTGACATCTTATAAAGTCAAGGTGTTGTTTCTGCTCAGGAATAAATAAAAGTAAGTGGCCACAAGGTAGATTTCATGAACCCACAAGCTACCTTTGTTATCCTTTAAATAAAACTATATTCTTTATTTAGTCTTTGAGACAAATGCTGCATAAACCCTGCTTTCCCTCTCCACGGCTGAACAAATACTTTGGTACCCAAGCAGAATCCTACTGTACGAGCGCATCTGAAGGGACCTTATTCCCTTCCCTGATGACATAAGTGTGAGATGAGTAAGGCTGCCAGCGGGGGCTGGAAACAAGCTGGTCTGTGTGACAGGGAGAAAATAACCTGGAGCTCCTCGCTTACAGGCTCTGGGATGGAAATCCCCCATAAAGGGCTGGACTGCGGACTAGAACAAGGAGACATAAAAACCAAACAAGGAAAATAAGCGTTACATTTATCACATTAAATATAGATTCCAGCCACTTAAAACAAGAGATGAGTACCTCCTTTATAGAGGTTCAAGTCCCCAAAAAACCTACAGTGCCTATACAAAGTCTACACACTCTTTGCGTCTTAGTCTGAAATCAAGACATTAAATCAGACTGAGTGAATAACAAATATTCAAACATTATGTAAAGTCATTCCAAATGGGTTGCATACACGTATGCGTGCTTGAGTTAGTACTTGGTGAAAACACCTTGTGCTTGATTTATCGCCATAATTCTCTTTGGACAGGTGGGCACCAACGTAGCACACCAAGATCTGGCAAGGTTTGTCCATTCCTCCTTACAGAACAGATCAAGTTTAGTCAGACTGTGTGGGGACCGTGGATAGACTATGGCATTCAAGTCATTCCACAGATGAGCAACTGGGCTGAGGTCAGGGCTCTAACGGGGCCTGTCGAGAGCGTTTACCTTTGTGCTCCTTAGGAGCTTCACTGCGGTTGCTCTGGCTGTAGTCATGAAGAAAGGGGAAGTCTACCTTTCAACAAGAACCTGTGAGTATTTTTCTCCTTCCACTTTCCTCTCTAGCTTGACCCCAGTCCCTGCTGCACGGAAACACCCCCATAACACAATGCTGCCTCCACCATGCTTCAGAGCAGGGATGGTGCTCTGCGGGCAATGTGCTGTACTGGTATCTAGGTCAAGAAGTTCTATCCTGGTTTCGTCAGACCACAAAACTTTTTTTCCCCCCACGTGGCTTCAAGATCTCCACAGTGTTGATTTGCAGATCTCAAAACAAGAGTTAGTGTGGGCTTTCTGAGCAGTGGCCTTCTTCCTTCCACCCTCCTGTACAGCCCAGACCTGTGGAGAGCTTGGGATATTGTTGTGAGATGTACACGCGAGATGTAGTTTTGACTGGTCTTTGACAGACCCGCAAGTCCTTCAGAGCTGCCGCTGGATTCTTGATGGCCCTCTCTACCGAGTCTCCTCCTTCGTGCACAATTTGGAGGGAGGATGTGATCCAGGAAAGATCTTGGTGGCGCCATATGTACCAAGGGATATTTAAGGCCTTTGAAATTCTGAAGTTGTCAGAAACACTACAGTTGAACACAGGTGGAGGCAAATCAGCTTGCAGGCAATTCGTGATACAAGAGCCAATTTACAATTTCTGTTACTAAGGGATGAGTATACTTAATTAAACCATTTTTTCAGGGTTCGCTGATGTAAATCCTTTGCTGAACGACTGAACATTTGTTTGTTTTTCATTTACAGGTTGTTCTGATTGAATACGTGTAACTTTGCAAAGTGTGTGTAATTTCTACAGGCACAATATTATATGAAGGTCAGCCACCAACTTCACCCAGGCTATGGATAAACCAAGACGCTAGCACTGCTAGCACAGAACCAATTCAATTAGTTTTAGACACTGATTTTATAAGACTTTAAATAGTTACGGTCTTTACCCTGCTTTATGTGCACAACAGTGATTTTTAGAAATTCCCGAAATGTCACATTGAAAAACTGAAGCGTCTAACATGCCGTTCTTATTTTTTTGTACGTAAAAACTCAGGTTACAACTTTCTTTGAATCTCAGTCCTTGAAAAATGCATACAAAACCACAGCTCAACATCTGGTTGCAGTCAAGATATAATTTCCTCTGCAACCACAATATGTCATTGTGGACTGTGAAAGCTGAGATTTCTCGATCTATCATATACGTTCTCTTTCAAATGTATTAAGCAAAAAAAAGGAACCTCCAGAATTGCCTCAGGCAAAAAACCTGTGGTCCTGTTCTGCGTTTGAACTAGATTTAAATAATGCAGCTCGGCTAGTCAAACTCCGCGTTCATAAACATCAGCCACACATCTGTGGGCCCTGGCAAGTGCAGTGGAAAACAGCCAGGACAAAACCCGGACGAGACCAGCTCCACTCGGGTCGCGAGGAGACCTGCTCAAATTCTGCAACAGTGGATGAGCTTTCGCTGCAGAGCTGCATGCAAAGCTGCTAAGTAGAGCATAATGACTGAAAAGCCAAGAAATCAGAAAATTAGCTACTGCATCCAACAGGCAAATAATATCTACCAGCTGCAAAATGACAGAATGACGGTAAACATGAGAAATATTGCTGCGTTCATGAAACAGACCCTTGTGAATCAGTGTGTAGTATCCGCCTGACAGCCCTCTCTAACAGGCTGCTGCCCAGTATAGAAAGAATGCTGCAGAGCTAGTCTACAGACCTTGCTGAAAGTGTGCTAAGCTTAATGCCTGTTCTGAAACTTTACTATTAAATGGCTGATGTATTTATATCAAACAAACTGCAGTGATAAACATTACTTTTTTTTTTTACATATGACATGCAACTCAACCCAACAATACTGGGATGAGGGGAAAAGATCACTGGCACTGCTGATATGCAGCAAACTGAATGCCTTTCTGTCTGCATCCCATGCTCACTCACAGGCAGGTTGCTGCTCCTTCAAACATCCTTCATCGGCGCTCATGATGCAGCCATTAATGTTGTGCATTACAGTCACTCAGTCCAACCATAAAAACATAGCAAGACCTAAAAAAACACCATCTAAAATATTACATTTTAACTAGAACCAGTTGGAATCATATGCATGCCCAGATTAGCAAAAAGAAAACATAATGACATATCCCACTGTTTTTCATAAAGCCTTGCAGTCAGACTTAGTGTCTGAAAATAAGCATTCCTAAAGAATACAATTCCCATTTCTCAGGGTTTTCCTCCACTGCCAAGAAATCCGTCCAGACTTGTCAAACTATTGTCAGCCTGCCAATTTCACAACTACTGTATATCACCTATTGACAGGGAAGGATGCACTACACAGGCATACTCCTAATTAATGTGTCCAGTACTAATTGAAATCATCTCCTTTAAACAGCAATGTCTCACATTAAGTCTACATGAAGCAAAAGCACTGTTCTTTCTCTGCTGGCTTTACGGGTATGATTGCGAAGTAGAAACGTTTCTAAATCTTCTGCCTCTGTTTGTTAATGGACAGGGCGATTCATTTGTGCTGCCTACTGAACTGCAGTGCACATTCTGCTGCAATTTTAACAAGAAAATGTTATAAAAAGGTAGTGCAGATGTCCTTCTCTTCCGAAAAACAGCCGTCTCAAACAGATAAACTATCTGAACCTATATACCGGTGCAGTGAGAGGTTTTCAAAATGTTTAGAAAAGAAGGACTTTTTGGGAAGAAAAACTGTTCTGAATTCCAAAACATACATCTGTACCTAGAAGAGATCCTTGAGAATCACTTACACTACACCTCATTTTTTCATAAAGCAAGTATATACCAGGTTAAAAAACAGACATTTTATAACAGACTTCACATATGAAATGCATCCTAAGACACTGAAATGGATTTTCTAGTAGATCTCGTCCAAGTAAAATAAAAAGAAAACTGCTGCTTTCTCTAAAATTCATATAATACACTGTGGGAATACATAACTGATGAAATGTGCTCACCGCATTGAAAATTTGTTTCAATCTACCATTATTAGTTGCATACATTAACTTGACTTTTTGCTACATAGTTTTATACTAGCTATACCTATAATCTGGTCCACTTCAAGTAAAGAACCAGGCTTGTAAATTGAAATCAAAGGTTTTGTGCTTCCAAATCACAGAATAAATATTTGAAAGCATCTTGATGTTCTGATACACTGCCTATTCTCAGTTTCTTGGCGCAAGGAACATCTTTATTGAATCCAGCCCAGCAAAACACCAGATTACAAGGAGCATAGCAAAGTCAGCATGCATTGTTTTATCTACAACAATCCTAAAGCAAAACCAGATGAAACACCTCCAGTGTAGACGAGGCCTACACACGTGTTAAATTGCCAGTCAAACCCATGTCCAGCCAATACATTACAAAGCTCCCGATACAGAATCATTATCCCCTCCATTACCTCACTAACTCAGCCGTAGGTCTTATTAATTGATTACCGAACAGAATTCTTCTCTGCCCCCTGGCCATCAAGCACCAACTCCTACAGTGACTAGAGACTAAGAAAGTTTGGTTTTAAATTGCTTAATTCGTGGCAGAAAAATAATATGTAACAGAGAGTGCACATCAAGCTACCACTGCAGATACCTGCTTTCTACTACAGTCTCAAACAGAAATCACAGACGCCTGTTAGACGTACAATGGAGCGGTATACATCTCAGACCTGATTACATGTTGGCTGGAGACTGCGATATCCTTATGGCTTTGTCACACTCAGGAATGACAGCCCAAGGCACAGTGCTGCCAGCTGAAGTATGAACAATGGAGAAGCCAGGGGTGATGGGGGAATCAACGAGTCAGGAGCACTGACAGGCCTGGCCAGGACAAGGGAATAGCCCTGCCCACGACTCGGCTGATGCTGCATCCCGATCTGAAACACTGGAATAAAATGCAGCCAGAAACAACGCAAGCATCTGTCATCTTTCAGCTCATGCAGTAAGCATGCTCCAGATCTGGCTGCAGCAGAAACAGCTTTGTTGCTTCTCGAGTCTCCCTGCCTATTTTTACCAACACAAAGCATGACTCATCTGCAGTTTTCAGCGCAGCGCTGCCAAAAGCACGAGCAACATCTTTGCCACTTTCGTTTTCATTAAAAGAAAAAAAAAGGCATGAAAAGTTTAAGTATTCTACATAAATTGAACCAGACAGTCAGTTCATCTTTCACTAGTAACTGTACACTTGATGTTTTTTAAATGAAAAACAGATGTTATAAATGCACAGAAGACATCCACCCCCCAATATCATTCCATCCAAGGAATAGCACTACTTCCACGTCTTCTGCATTTCTCCCCTGAGGCTAATTAAGGAGAAATGTTACTAAAAACGAGTGAGGATGCCACTTTCCCCCTACTTCCCCTTCATACTATATACATTAATGTTAGTGCACAACAATGATACTAACAGTTAAAGGAGATTCAAGATATGTGAAGAAAAATTTCCTCTTAAGACTAAAGCTATTTGCATGTATTTGTAGTTGTAGTTGCATTATGAGTTGCACTGTCACAAAATCACTCTAAAATGCTTCAGAATTCACACAAATACATTTCACTCCAGTTGCATATATTACAAATCATTTAACCATCTAGGAGGCAGGTTCAGAAGAGTAAGGAAAAATGAATAAGGCATTCAGCTGAAACAGCTGCCTTTACTCCCCGAATAAAACAAAACCATGTCCTTCAAGCCAGTAAAAAAAACAACCTCTGTCCTATTCCCATGTGCAGTAAAGTTGAAAGCTCAGTAATGTTCATGTGCAGCTAAGCTCTGGTACAAAGATGACGGGACATGTACCTACCTTACAGCCTGCAGAGCAAGCTGCCAGCTAACCAGGCCACCACAGCAGGGCAGACCCAGGCAGAGCTGGCACAGCCCGCACACTGGCATCACACCAGCACACGGCAACACCACACACTGGCATCACACCAGCACACGGCAACACC